CCCGGGATTGGGGCGCGGCTCCCACCTGCATGCGCAGATCCAGGCGGGATCGGCGCTCCCACCATTCCCGGCGCTCGCTGCAGCCGTTGGCCTCGCGCTGCTCCCGCTGGATCCCCTCCAGCTCCCGGAGCAGCTCAGCCAGGGGCGCCTGCAACACCGCGGGAATCATCGGGAATCGCCGGGAATTCCGGGATCGGGAATTCAGGGATCGGGAATTCCAGGATCGGGAATTCAGGGATTGGGAATTCAGAGATCGGGAATTCAGGGATCGGGAATTCTGGGATCGGGAATTCCAGCAGGGATTGGGAATTCTGGGGATCGGGAATTCCAGGGATCGGGAATCATCGGGAATTCCAGGGATCGGGAATCCTCCAGGACTCCCAGAACGGGGGGAGGAGGATGGGGGAGGAAGGTGAGGATGAGGATGATGATGAGGAGGAAGATGAAGGTGAGGATGATGGGGATGATGAGGATGAAGGTGAGGATGATGATGATGATGATGATGAGGAAGATGAAGGTGAGGATAATGATGAGGATGAAGGTGAGGATGATGATGAGGATGAAGGTGAGGATGAAGATGAAGGTGAGGATGATGGGGATGATGATGATGAAGGTGAGGATGAAGGTGAGGATGATGATGAAGGTGAGGATGAAGGTGAGGATGATGGGGATGATGGGGATGAAGGTGAGGATGAAGGTGAGGATGAAGATGAAGGTGATGATGATGATGATGAAGGTGAGGATGAAGATGAAGGTGAGGATGAAGATGAAGATGAGGATGATGGGGATGATGAGGATGAAGGTGAGGATGATGATAATGATGAGGATGAAGGTGAGGATGAAGGTGAGGATGAAGGTGAGGATGAAGATGAAGGTGAGGATGATGATGATGATGAAGGTGATGATGAAGGTCACTGACCTGGCCGCGCTGGGTGGGGATCCGGACGCTCAGGGGCTCGGCGCCGCGCTCCAGCCGCGTCAGCAGCAGCGCGGCCGCGGGGCCGGCACCGGCCAGGGACAGCTGGCACACGGTGACACCTGCCGGGGGGGACAGCCGGAATGGCGGGAATTCCTGGGAATTCGGGAATCCCATCCCAGGGAATCCCAATCCCATGGAATCCCAATCCCAGGGAATCCCATCCCAGGGAATCCCAATCCCAGGGAATCCCCAAACCTGGAGAACCCTCCCAGAACAAATTCCAACCATTCCCAACATCCCAGGAAACTCTGGGGTTGGCACACGGTGACACCTGCCGGGGGGGACAGCCGGAATGGCGGGAATTCCTTGGGAATTCCTGGGAATTCCGGGAATCCCATCCCAGGGAATCCCCAAACCTGGAGAAACCTCCCAGACCCAAATTCCAACCGTTCCCACCAATCCCAGGAAACTCCAGGGCTGGACAGCCGGGAATTCCCAAGTTTGGGAATTCCGCACTTGGAATCCTCCTGGAATTCGGGAATTCCCCCAGAATTCCAACCCCATGGAATCCCCCACCCTGGGAAAGCTTCCCAGACCCAAAGTCTGGAATCCCCAGAGTGGGAATTTGGGATTTCCCAACCCCCCCAATCCGGGAATTTGGGATTTCCCAACCCCCCAGAGTGGGAATTTGGGATTTCCCAACCCCCCAATCCGGGAATTTGGGATTTCCCAGCCCCCCAATCCGGGAATTTGGGATTTCCCAACCCCCAGAGTGGGAATTTGGGATTTCCCAACCCCCAAATCCGGGAATTTGGGATTTCCCAACCCCCAGAGTGGGAATTTGGGATTTCCCAACCCCCCAAATCTGGGAATTTGGGATTTCCCAAGGAACTGACCGCTGGGAATCTTCCGGAGCTGCTCCCGGAACCGCTCCCGCTCCGCCGGCCCCAGCCCCGTGGAGCTGAACTGGAACAGCTCCTCCAGCTGGGCCAGGTGGGAATCCTGGGAATCCTGGGAATCCTGGGGATCCCCCTCTTCCCGCAGGGAGAGGCCCCGGAGCTGATCCGAGACGTCGCCTCCGGCGGCCGCCGCTTTCCGCTGCTTCCTGCGGGATCATCCCAAAATTCCTCCGGAGGGGGCCGGGAATTG